GTATCATCCTCGTTTTCAGCGCGAAATCAGCATCGGGGGTTGTACGCTCCGAGCAAAAGCAATTCGCCCAAATGCTTCTTCATGTTATAATTCAGACGATAGAAGCATCCATGAAGTTGAACATTCGGAAATGCGTTTTTCACTGCATGCAGCGGCGCAATTTTGAAGTCACAAGAAATCGAATTTGGGTGAAGGTACGGTACAAGAACTTTAGCATCTGAAAGAGGATATTGTACGTCGCTGTCTGCTTGTCTGACAAAAGCGCGCATACAACAGGATGGACACCACCAAACCTTTCTGCCAGCACTGTAAAGACTTGACAGAACAGTGGCGGAACAGGTCGAAATTTCCATTTCCAAGTTATGTTCTCGACTCCCTTAAGATCTGCAGGTTTCCCTGCGTGGCAAAAATTAATAATCGATTAGTCCAGGTCCACCGTCACCAATCAGAAACGATTCAAAGACACCTGGCTGCGGTTCTTACCTTTTATACGATTCCAGCAGAATCGGTGTCTCTAGATTCATGAGAACTGATGGAGCGGCGTTCACTTCATTTCTTCTTCGTATTATAATCTTCTTTATTGCTCGAAGATTTTGAAGTGAACCCTGAGCCCCTTGCGACCGTCCACCTGCGCATTCGTTTATAACTTGCACAGGCGCTTTCCTGTTGTCTTCGGCACGTCTTTTGATTTTCGTCACAAGTTCTGCCACTTCCACACCCACCGCCGAACTCTCATGGGAATCTTCACCAATTTTCAAGACAACAGTTCTACCTGCTGGATGTATCCTTGCTTTGCATTGATCCTTCTGTACACAACGCCAAAATTTCTTTGTACCATCGGTACTATTCCTGTCAAAGACATAGCAAAAGCCCGCTGACGAAAACTTCTCCCGATCTCGTTTTGAAAGCGGAATTACGAACATCTTCGATACACTCAATGGACCACTTTTCCCTACTCGAGTACAATTCACGTGCTTAATGTCAGCAACGATGGAAACGTGATAGTGGAATTGATGATTCAAGATGGTGTTATTTTATAACAATACTGCGGCTTGAATAAATGACCTTGAAGAGTAATAAGAGGGAACCAAATGAAAGATAAATATTGAAAATGCATAAATTTGACGGTGGATTCGTGCTGTCCTCTCATTGATACGCTCAACGCCGTTGTACCCAGAGAAAGTTATTCATTAATGTGTAGATAATGCACATTTGTTGATGGAAGTCAAACCTGCGACTGTACGACGTGCGTTGAATTAATGAGCTCTCGCAAGTAGAGAAATGAAGTCATAAAATAAAACTTTATCTTAAAAATTCATTGGTTTGGCACAAATTTCACATTGCGCACACTGAGAGCTTCTCATAGACATATACAATATAACTTGCTGGGTTGGAGATGTTACAGCTGATGGAGATGATAAGTGTTAGATCGTAGGTAATGAGGCAATCGAGAAATTGCATCTTGTCATCATTTCGAATGTTTGTTGTAAACGGGATCACTTTTTAATTTTGTTCAGATGGTTTAAGAACTTCGTGTACTTACTCGATCAGACAGGCAGCGAACGTGTCGCCAATATATCTTCATAAAAGCGTAGAATCAATATTGTCATCAACATATTACTTTAATAATTCCCCATGATCAAGTTGACCCTTGCTGAAGAAGTCGGTACGCTTATAACGATTTCGCCTGTGTTTTGGTACACAGTGCTATCGAGGTTGAACCAAGTGCTTTGCAGGTAGAAGTTTTGGCAGCCGAGAGTCTTAGACATTTAATAATGTGTTCTGGCTAAGGATTACTACAGGGTGTAGCCTGAACTCAAGTTTTGCCATTACCTTACTGTACGTGTTTTCGACATGCAGATTTGTGATTGAAGTAATTGCTTTAATTATTGCAATAATCCATTTTAGCGGATCACACGGTTATAAATGAGCAACAGGAACAAATAAACAAGCATCAGTGTCTGCTTAATCTATGGTTTCAGGATACAAGGAAAGAGTAAATTCTTCGTTATGAAAATCCCTTTAGTAATCTTAGAAAAGTAATGATATGGCCTGTATAGACGTTTGGGTGAAAGTCATTTAATTGCTTTATTTGAATACGGGAGTAGGATAATCGCTAAGATAGTTACCTTAATTCCATCGATGTTAAGGTCTTCATCTCGATAGCCACTGATCATCCCAGTTTTGGTGACCATGTTGTTAATCGTCGTCTCTGCAGCGGAGAACTGAACCACGTAATCGTTTTCGTTGTTTTTCAAAAACTGCAGTGACGATAGTCCTTTGTGACTGATGTTGGTGAACTTTACCATTACTATGTTGCACTAAAGTAAACATCAACAATACTTCCAAAAACACTTCATTCTCTCATCTAAATCCTGGCTTTTTACATTCTTTGAATAATTAACAAGTTATTCGATAGTGTTACACTTTAGAAATAAAATTTTAGTACTTTGATGCGGCCATCGTTTCTTGACTGCGACTATTTTATCTTTTAAGTTTACGTTGATTCATTCACATCTTTCGAAATGTACTGGATAGTCGAAGCTTGCAACCGGAAAACTCTGGGATGTAATTCAATTTTTATGCCCTGGCTTCAAGTTGCCTTTGAAAGACGCGTTGCAGTAGCGAAAAAAACATTATAAGCAATTCTCAACCTAACGAGACGACTGATTGTTTATCTGCAAACAGAACATTCTGCAGTTCTGACTGTTTGAAATCTTCAGCGAAATCAGTACTATTAAAGAGACTGCAACATTACTCCAGGAGGCAGTGTTCATAAGGAGTGCCTTCCAGATATCATCTGCAACATCCAATTTGGTTCTCAAATGATATGGCCATCTAAATAACCTCATTTTCGATGGAAAACTTGACTTGATTGAAAATAAACTATAGGAACTTTAGCTGGCCATATCATTTGAGAACTCAAAGTTGGATGTGTGCTTCTGAATGTTTAATAATTCTCAAATAGCACTAGAAAGATATCTCTCCCTTACAAGGATTTATCGCAAACAGAAGCAGGCGAACCGTTTTATACAATGAATTGTGTAAAGTACAGAATGGTTTTATCAGCTAATGATAACCAGGGTCAAGTGAGCTCTGAAGAAAACGATTTTCAACTGGAAAGCGATGGCATTTGGAAAACTCTGACGATCGTAGATTCCCACAGTACCCTAAATGTTTCTCTGAAGCAGCCGTTCACCAAAACGGCCAATCACATCATCGAAACAGGTATGATGACGAATCGTCTGATATTGTGGTATGTTTCGCCTCCCCTCCGGACCTGTAAGAAAACCTCAGCTCTGACGCTACTATGCAACGCCGATTAACAGACATAACGAGGAAACAGTCGCCCTATGAAAACCGAGAATAACCTGTTGCATTCCTTGCAAAGGTGGTGAGGTCCATATGGAAAGAAAAAAATAACAAACGGGTGTCTTTACCATAATGAATTATGCGTATGTAAAAAAAAATTCAAAACGCGGCTCGGAAAAGATAGTTAGTAAACACCATCCTGCCATCAAATTTAAGTGTCAAATCACCCGTTTAGTAGTTCAGCATTGCATGATCGCAGAAAATTTAACAGAGACTGATAGCATGCTAGCAAAGTCTGCGTTGAAAGAAACTCAACCCCAGGAAAGTTAGAAAAGTTCTGTCCATGCAGGTGATTAGACTTTTGAACACTATGGTGTGAATGTGAAAGGTACTTATCATCAGCTCTGAGCAGCAGGTTATCATTTCAGAACCAAGTGTGCTTCTTCCTTCTCGTGGCACCACAGAGTTTGAACTTGACAATACAGACTTCTGCCTTTTAGAATAGGCTAAATCAAATGTAGGTGTAGAAAACTCAATGAGAATCACGAAGAACATCAGCATAATCTCCTG